ATATATATATATATAAGCAAACACCATTATGTCATTTTAGCAAGATTTGATACAAGGTTGAAGGAAAAACACAAAGATAAACACAAGTGATATCTAAGAATGACTGTTGTTAGCAAATCTTGTTCTGACTTTAATCATTCTATCTGCAGATGAACAGCATGTCATGAAAACCTACGTAGGTCATTAAAGGATGTCATGACTAACTAGCTTAAACATAAAAGTATTAGTTCCTTTACATCTCCCCCATCTGATCATTAAATCACCAATTAAATGATCAATAAAACAAAAAACTCTTTAATGCATTTTTTAAAAAAACATGTCAACATAAACCTATGTCATGAATTACTGGCTTAAACCTAAAAATATTAGTTCCACCACAGTTCCAGTTTTTGAACCTGCCTGCGCCCTGGGTCTGTTCCTGCAAAATCCTCACACCTGGTGCTTACTAGGTACAAATTTGGTACGTACTAGGTGTGCGTGTTTATATATATATATATATATATATATATATATATATATACACACATACACATACATATTGTTGTAGTCAACCTGTTATTTACTGGGTTCATACCTGGTACTCACCAGGTACATACCAAAATTTACTGTGTATGTACCAGGTGCTTACTAGATGTGTAGCTCGTGTGCTAACTGGTTCAGTAGCTGTTACCTACATTTATGTCCCTAAATACCAGGTACATGCCCAATAAGTAATCGCTACTTACCCTGTACGTATCAGAGAGAGTACTTTTTTCTTTTACAATCACTTTTTTTTATTATTACCCCTGCAACAATGTTCCTTACCATTTGTTGAATAAATATGTAAAACATTTTTTGTGCTTTGCTTGTATTGCAGGAAAAATGTCATCAGTACTGGCCCGCTGAGTGCTCTGCACGCTATCAGTACTTTGTTGTGGATCCAATGGCTGAATACAACATGCCTCAGTACATTCTGAGGGAGTTTAAGGTCACAGATGCCAGGGTATGTTCTCTGTTGCTGAAGAAGCAAGCAGCAAAGCTGAAATTTAACTCAGCTTCTTATCACCTGACGCTGAAAGGCAAAGACATATCAACCCTTTTTTCTTTGGTGGCTGGTGATAAATACAAGTGTGTCTACTCTGTGACTTCAAACACATTGTATAAAAATGTTTTTTTACAGTTGTTTCACTTAACAACACTGGTCTGTATATTAGCTTCATCATTCCTCTACAACTTCTTCAGGATGGCCAGTCGAGGACCATCAGGCAGTTCCAGTTCACTGACTGGCCAGAGCAAGGAGTACCCAAAACTGGGGAGGCTTTGATAGAATTTATTGGCCAAGTCCATAAAACTAAAGAGCAGTTTGGACAAGATGGACCAATCACTGTGCACTGCAGGTACATTTGTCGTGGTGCTCTTTTGTTTTAGAACCATTTCTGTTCTACTTACTGACTTTGTCAGTAACAGATGTCCTTAAACAATATGAGACAGGAAGTGGATGCTGACGTTAGAATGATGACTTTTGTTTTGCTGTGAATTTGAGTGCTCTATGTCTATCTTAACAGATGTTGTAATAGAATAGACAAATACACAAACGATTGGCTTATAAAAGGGAACATATGATGCAAAATCTCCTGATTCATCTCAATAATCCTGGCAGGAAAAGCAACTGAACCTTTTAAGCAGTGCCTCCATGTGATGGACAAACATGTTTAACTGTGACAATCAACGTTTGTTCACATGCAAAAGAGAACCTGCAGCCTAACAATAGATCAAATCAATAAAAAAGTTTAGATTAAGGTTGAACATGTCTTTAGGAGAGGTAAGGGGTAGTGAGTGATTGGTGGTGGGGTTTCAGCTTGCCTTGAAAGTAAGAAAAGGGTGCTTTGAGTGAAATAAGGTTGGGAATCACTGCTGTATGTAATAGTCACAGTGGTTTGTTAACATCATCCAATGTGTGTGTTGTTCAGTGCTGGTGTCGGACGGACCGGTGTGTTCATCGCCCTCAGCATCGTGCTGGAGAGGATGAGGCATGAAGGAGTGGTAGACGTCTTCCAGACTGTGAAGATTCTCCGAACACAGAGGCCAGCCATGGTTCAGACAGAGGTACGTTTTTAAAGAATGTATCTGTGTTAAACCATGATTAAAGACTAAATTAAAAGTTTTTAAATATTCTTATCTCTTGTCATTGGATAGTAAATTGTCTGTTTGCTGCATTGAGTCCAGCACAGCTTTCCATTTTCTTGACCTTTTCTGATATCCTTGGTCCTAAATTTTCCATCAGTTTCACGTTTATCTTTTGGCAGGTTGACACTGTGACGTCTTGTTGAGGAAAGGTCAAACAGTGTGTACTTTGAGGGTACAAAGCCAGGATTTGAAATAATTCTAGTCAAATATTTAAAATGATCTGTGTGAGTCTACAAAACATCTCAAACTGTTTACGGTCATTCTCAATTTTCTTGCACAATTCCCAGAGGCTCACAGTTTTGTTGTGTAAATTTTGAACATGATTTAAAATTTGTGACAAATTTAGTCTTAAAAAAAAGAGCTCTCCTTTGACGAAAAAAAAAACATTCAGTGCAAACTTTAAAAGTTTCTCTCTTTTTATGCCCGTAGCAGATCATGATGCAGAGGTAATCTTTGCAGCATGAGATGGTGTATTTTAATACATGAAGATGATTTTAGTCTTCTTCCTTAGGTGCCTACTCATGTGACCAACAACACCCTGAAATTGTTTAACACTAACGCTAATCCATTTAGATTTTCCAAATAACTTGACCTGTGGGTTTGGGAATCTGGAATGAAACTGGAGTACCCGGAGAAAACCATACTAAAAAACAAACAAACAAAAATACATTTTTATGACACTTGCAGTAAATATAGTTTGTATAACAATGTTGAACGTGGTGCAGCCTAAACCGGCCCCTGAGGTCAGTTGGCCATGAGAGATCCAAACAGTGTATTAAAAGCCCACAGATAGCAAAATCACCAGAGTTTGAAAGGACTCAAACCCCTCTACCATGTCAAAAATAACATATCTATAAAGGCAGTTTTTGGTTTGCTTCTTTCTTTATTGATTTGTTCATCTATCTGTTTTGTTTTTGCCCATAGGACCAGTACCAAGTATGCTACAGGGCAGCTCTGGAGTACCTGGGAAGCTTTGATCACTATGCAACATAACTCGACCAAAAATTACATCCCAGAAAGAATTTCTCTCAGACATTTTTACACCACTCATCGGTCTGTGTGAGCCGATGAGGAGTGTGTGAGCAGGACTGCTGTGGAGACGATCACAGCCAGGGCAGATCAAAGGAAGGAGGAGATGTCGTCCTGGTCTGCTGCCGCCATGCTGCCCCAGGCCCTCCCCACTCCCACACACAGAAACCTTCCAGATGCCAACCCTGAAAAACTGCTGTAACTATCTTCACCCAGACTTCTGCCTCCTCTCAGTAGCAAACAAATTTTGTATATTTTCTTTTATTTTCTTCTATCTACTATGATGGTGATGATATTTATACATGAATTTGTAATTACGAGTAAATTCTTCATATTTGTTTGTTTTGCTTTTAATTATTTTATTGTATTTGGAAACAGCATGCAGTTATTTCAACTCATCAAAAAAGCCTACATTGTATAACACACAGTACAGTGGGGTGTGAAAATCTGGGCAGCCTTGTTAATTTTCCTGATTTACCAATCATTGATTGTTTGGATAAAAAAATCAGTAAAATAAATCATATAGGGGACAAACACAGTGATATTTGGGAAGTGAATTGAAGTTTATATGATTAACAGAAAGTGTGCATTAATTGGTTAAACAAAATGTGGCAGGTGCATAAATTTGGACACCATAAAAAAACTTTAACTCAATTTTTAGTAGATCCTCCTTTCACAGAAATAACATTCTCTAAACACTTCCTACAGCTTCTAAAGAGAGTCTGGATTGTGGATGAAGGTATTTTAGACCACTCTTATTTATAAAACATCTCTAGTTCTTTCAGGTTTGATGGGTTCTGAGAATGGACAGCTCTCTTTAAGTGACACCACAGATTTTCAATAATATTCAGGTCTGGGGACTGAGATGGCCATTCCAGAATGTTGTACTTGTTCCTCTACATGAAGGCCTTAGTAGATTTTGAGCAGTGTTTAGGGTGGTTGTCTTGTTGGAAGATGCAGCCCCGGCGCAACTTCAGCTGTGTCACTCATTCCTGGACACTGGGCCTCATGCAAGAACCGTTAGTACGCACAGATTTGTTCTTAAGTTGTACGTACGAGTGATTTAGGAGAATTTGTGGCATTCACCAATGTTTTCGTATTCTACGATTTTTTTCAGATAC